TTTGTTATCCATGATATTTTATGTCTGCAATATCTTGAAATATGTTGCTTCAAAATTCTGTTATATTTTAGGGAGTGATTGAGATTATAGAACTAAATTTTTTTTCATAAACATGCAGTGGAGATACATCTATCCCAGGGTTAAAAGAAACAATTCTGTGGACAATATTTTAGCAAAAATAAGTTAAATAAGCCACAGCCTGTAAGTATTAAATATTGGGATGGACAAGAATATGGGAACCTAAATAAAATAACACCTTGTATGTCATATCATGTTTTTTAGTAGTATTTTTTTTATTAATTTAGCCCTAGTGTTATAGAAATGAAAAAAATCTGTATTAGGTATTTCTAAACAATTAAGGACTGGATATATTTTTTTAAGGTTCCGGCAATAAATAATAATTATTTAACAAACTTACCTGTTGTATGAATCGTGAAAATATATTTGATTGAACACCCTATACATTGTTTATAGTGTTGAAGATATAAGAAATCGTTGTGTGTATAATATTTAAAATGTTTAAGAAATATATTTGAACTTTTACTATTGGATGCATATTGTTTTCCCCAAATATATATTACTGAAAACATCACTTACAAAATAAAGAAGTTCTTGGCACCTAAGTACTAATGAAAGTTAAAGAATAGATTATTGTCAATATAATCTTTATTGAAAGAAGACAGACTTACTTACATTTTTAATTATTGAAGTTACTGATACCTAATACAATTAAATAACTTTTTTTCAAGCACTCGCGAAGTTCACTCGTATTTTAACTGGTGGGGTGGCATTTTACTGGGCCTGAATCACAAAAATTCCACACTATGGACTCAGATACGCTCATCTACAGGGTGATTCATTAATAATGGGACAGAGCTTAAGGGCATGTTGCTGACCTCAAAATAGAGCGATTAAGCCAAATATGCCTTATCCGAATGTTGCTCCGTTTCGATCTACAGGGTGTTAAATTTGAAAATATATTTTCGATTTTTTAAAATATCTTGATCATCTTTGAACGGATTGTCTTGAAAGTTTGTACACCTATATTTTCTGAGGTGGTAATTACGAAAATGGTAACTATTTTGCAATCACATCTAGGATGCGCTAGTTATAGTGTTCCGTCGGAGCAAACATATGTCAAACTTTTTTGTCCTTCAAAAATCTGAATTTCCAATAAGAAATTATTAAACTACGTTCAATTCTAAATAAAAAAGATATACTTGTTAAAAATCTATAAACTTAACCGTTTTCGAAATAAGAACGATTTACTATTTACAAAATTATTTGTTTGAACGAACGCCTTTAAATAAGATGACTTAAATGAAGTAGGTCGCTGTCAATGATATGTCAAGTATTATTTATGTCAATTCTAAGCAACTTATAAATACTAGACAGTTTAGTTTTTCTTCGTTTGTGATTTTTTTCATTAAAATGCTGCGTCATAATGATTATTCGTTTGTTGAAATGAGAAACATGGTATGTGTGTATGTCCAAGAAAATTATTGTGGTCGTCATGCAGCAGCGAGGTACTTGGTGTTATATCCAAATAACAGACAACCTAACCACAAGCTTTTCAAGACGTTGTGCGACAGATTAGGAGAAACGGGATCATTTCGCCCTAAACGAGATGTTGGGAGACCTAAAGTATTAGCGGCGGAGCAAGAAAAAGATGTTTTAGTGCGAATTGCAAACAAGCACACGCCGAATTTCATCAGCTACTGGTGTAAGTTAGCCTTCCGTCTTCAGAATACTCCACAAAGAAAAAATGTATCCTTACTATTTTCGTCCGGTTCAACAGTTGATGCCACAAGATCCTCCTGGTAGATTTCGGTTCGCACAGTTTCTTCGTCAATAACATAATGCTGACCCTACATTTTATAATAAAATATAGTTGACGGACGAAGCTACATTTACCCGGCGCGGTGTATTTAATTGGAGAAATAGTCAATCCTGGGAACTGGAAAATCATCACTTGCCACGAGAACAACATTTTCAGCATGAATTCTCAATAAATATTTGCTGTGGAATACTTTCCGATAACATTTTTTGACCATTTGTTTTACCCCGTCCACTTAATGGGGAAAATTATTTAAATTTTTTAACAAATGACTTGCCACTCGTTCTTGAAAATATCCCCTTAAATTTACGGTAAACCTTTTGGTTTATGCATGATGGAGCTCCTGCACATTACTTCCGACCAGTAAGAGAATATCTTGATGTAAGTTTTCGAAACCGTTGGGTTTGTCGCGGCAGCGAAGTGCCTTGGCCTGCGCGTAGCCCTGATTTAAATCCCCTAGATTTTTATTTCTGGGGTAACGTTAAATCTTTAGTTTATAAAGATGTTATACATACTCGAGAAGAGCTGTGGGCAAAAATACAAGAATCTGTTAATATTATCAGAGACCAACAAAGAAGTCTATTCAGTGTCAGACAAAATTTTAACGAGAGAATAAAAAAATGTATTGAAAACAATGGTCGCCACTTTGAGAATCTTTTGTAATTAGACTTAAGCATAATAAAATTTTCAATTGTTACTGTGTTTGTCTTAATTCGTAATTAAGTCATCTTATTTAAAGGCGTACGTTCAAACAAATAATTTTGTAAAGAAATAGTAAATCGTTCTTATTTCGAAAACGGTTAAGTTTATCGATTTTTAACAGGTATATCTTTTTTATTTAGAATTGAACGTAGTTTAATAATTTCTTATTGGAAATTCAGATTTTTGAAGGACAAAAAAGTTTGACATATGTTTACTCCAACGGAACACTACAACTAGCGCATCCTAGATGTGATTGCAAAATAGTTACCATTTCCGTAATTACCACCTCAGAAAACATAGGTGTACAAATTTTCAAGACAATCCGTTCTAAGATGCTCAAGATATTTTAAAAAATCGAAAATATTTTTTCAACTTTAACACCCTGTAGATCGAAAAGGAGCAACATTCGGATAAGGCATATTTTGCTTAATCGCTCTATTTTGAGGTCAGCAAAATGCCCTTAAGCTCTGTCCCATTATTAATGAATCACCCTGTATAGCGTATTTATAACGAAAAACTTGTACTTGTTTACTTGTACCCGCTGATACTTTAGGTTACAAATTTCACTGCACCCGCATTCATATCTGCACTGGGGGTATTTCTTCTTTACACTGGTGGCATAGACCGTATTTGTAACGAAAAACTGTAACTTGTTTAGCTGCATGTATTCATATTATGTTAGGTTAGAAGTTAAGAATTAAGAAATATGACGATGTGAGACCCAAGTCGACCGGGTTTACCGGGAAGCAAACCTACTGCTCTAATCGTTAAAAATGCAATGAATATGATTAGATGAAAAAAATTCAAACGGCAAACTCTTTTGATTTTGACATTAGTGGAATAACTTTATGTGTACGAATAGTACTAAATGAATGCAATAATTTAAATGTTCGTTAATAAGAAGTAAACCAGAATAGGTAGGTACCTGTAAAATTGAAAAAAAATGATATGATATCTTCAGACTTTGCTTTTTTAAATCGGGGGAATCTATTGTACGTGTGTGGTGCAACTTTGTACTGGTAATTAAAAGACATGTACCTCGAAATAGCCAGAATGTAAAAGTAAAATAAGATATTTCGAACACGGAAGTCTTTAGACTTTAGCGCCAGTTCTTTTTGACGTATCACAACTAATGCTAATAGTAGAGTAATATAAATACATAATGTAACGTAATATTAAACTTGCAAGGTTTTGTAAAGGTTTTTCGGTTTGCCTTGAAATTGAAACATGCAATTTTAAGGGTACTTACATCAATGCGGGGACAGCTAGCATGTCAGGCTTATGTAGAGCGGTAGTTATGAAAAAATGTAAATAATATCGTGACAATAATGTAATACCTATACATATCTGGGCGTAGCTACGCATTAACGTTTAAGAAAGGCCTGGCGAGGTAAAGTAACGACGCTCTGCTACCCTACAAACGGCTTTGACATTTGGCGAGAAATAATTTTGACATAATGAATTTGACATTTCTAACGACGTTCCAATTTTCTCCCGGTGGGCGTGTCTTAAAGTTTCAATCTTACGGCTTGCGAAATGGTCGTCTGTCGTCGAGCAGACCCCAAAAAGAAGGCAACATTAAATATGAAAACGCGTAAAAATCGTTACAAAAATGCCCCCGAACAACTAAGGAGGAACGACTGAGTATCTGTGCCAAGTCGCACGCCGTTTCGAGGCTCGCGGAGAAGGAATTTTGTGTAAAATTCACATTTTTCGGCCTTCCTAGACAGTGCATTTTAACGTATTTACGGCCGCATTTCGTATCCCGCGTTTGATTTCGCGGAAAGTTGTACATACAAAGTTGGAAGAAGGCACCCGGTCGATAAATATGAGTATTTTCGGCACGGTTTTAAATAAAGTATCGTAGAAAATAGGGGAAATAAAAATAAAAAAGCCGTACCTGCGCGCGATTCTAGGCGATCGGCGACCGCCAGATTTCAGCGGGAGGGAGTGTCGGACTATCGCGTTTCGCACAAAAATTGGGCCGCGCCCCTCGCAGAGCCTGAGGAATTCGAAGAATTCACGGTGAAGGCGTCGAGTGATCGGGTTCTGAATACGACGTTGGGACGCGGGAACGACGTGGCGACGCTTCGCGTCGCGACGGGGGCTGCTGCGCGGCACCGGGGCGAAGCCTTTGCTAACACAAATCGTCGCTTTTTCGGGGCAATCGTGCGACGCAGACGGAGCTATCAGATTTTAATATATACTGACTAGAAACGTAGGCAAGTCGGCTTCGCCGACTTGACGTTTCTCTCGGGCCTTCGGCCCTCTGGCGGCGCTGCGCGCCGCATAGGCTCCGCATCGCGAAGCACTGCCTTGTGCGAATGTTTTTTAAATCATCAACGTCATCATCCACGTTACCATCGTCTACATCACCATCATCTACATCACCATCATCTACAGCACCATCATCTAAATCACCATCATCTACATCACTATCATCCACATCGCCATCATCTACATCATCATCTACATCACCAAAATCTTCAGCACTATTATCTCCAGCACTATCATCTACATCACCATCATCTACATCGCTACCATCGACATCACCATCATCCATATCGCTATCATCAACATCACCATATTCTACATCGCTATTATCTACATCACCATCATCTACATCTACATCGCCATCGTCTACATCACTATCATTTACATCGCCATGATCTACATCACTATCATCTACATCACCATCATCTACATCTCCATTATCTACACCACCATAATATACATCGCCATCATCTACAGCGTCATCATCTACATCACCATAATTTGCAGCACCATCATCTACATCAGCATCATATACATCACCATCATCTACATCGCCATCATCTACATCGCCATTATCTACAGCACCATAATCTACATCACCATCATCTACATGACCATTATTTACATCGCTATTATCTACATTACTATCACCTACTACAGCAACATCTATATCACCATCATGTACATCATCATCATGTACATCACCATCATGTACATCACCATCATCTACACCACCATCATCCACATCGCCATTATCTACTTTGCTATCATCTACGCCACCATCATCTCCGTCACAATCATCTACACCACCATCATCTACATCACCAGCGTCTACATCGCCATTTTCTACATCGCCATTAATTACATCATCTACATCATTACCATCTACATTATTATAACCATTCAAATGTGGGTCGATATTTTGTGAAACATTCTGTATGGAAAGTTTTAAAATGGCACCTGGTTAGTAAATAAAAAAAATTCATGAATAGGCTTCACTAAATAAAGTAGAAGAAATAAATATGATAAGGAGTAATCGATGGGGTCTGTCCTGGATCAATTTTATAAATTATGCAGTATACTGTAAAGCTTCAAAAAACATATTATAAAATTGAATGAAATAAAAAGAATATGAATACATTTGAACACCTGCAACTCTGACCAGGCTCAATTTTGTTGGAACATTCGGTATAAAAATTATCAAGAAAGCATCGTGTTGGTAAATGCAAAATTTTTCATCAATTAATTTTACCAAAGAAAGTAGGAAAAGGTACAAAGGGTAAAAAATATATGGTCTGCCGCCTTTTTGTTTTGGGTTAAATTCTGATGTAGATCATTTTGTACATCCAGTATAAACTTCCAAAAGGATATCTAGTTAGTAAATATACAATTTTTATTCAAAGACTTCAGTACGTAAGTAAGGCAGAAATGGGAAAATAAGTTAAGGTTCACTGTCTTCTAATTTGTAAGTAGATCATTTTTTTGAACATCCAGTATAAACTTCCAAAACGTATATGGTTAGTAAATATACAATTTTCCATTCAAAGACTACGTAGGTAAGGCAGAAATGGGAAAAAGTAAGTTAACTTTCACTTTCTCCTAATTTTGAAGTAGATCATTTTTTAGAACATCCAGTATACACTTCCAAAAAGGTATCTTGTTAGTAAACATACAATTTTTCATTAAAAACCTTCAGTAAGTAAAAATAAAGTTGAAAGAGAAAAGAAAATTTTGTCAGCTTTATGAAACATCCAGTACAAAACATCTGGTTAATAAGATATGATTTGTCATAAAAATGTTGCCATCAATAAATTTCTGAAATATACAGAAGGCTCTGGACGATAATTCTGACCTGCGTCAATTTATGTAGAACATCTAGTATATGGATTTTCAAAGAAAGCGTCTGGTTAGTAACTATATAGATTTTCATTAAGAGATTTCAATAAATAATGTAGGAACGTGGGTAGTGAAATGAGAAAAAAGTCCTTGTCCGCCTGTGTCATTTTTAAGAGATAGTCAGTATATAAATTTGCAAAATGCTTCTGGGTTCTACAATATAAGATTCTTCATAAAAATATTGCCATCAATAAATTTCTGAAATATACAGAATCCTCTGGACTGATAATTCTCACCTGTGTCAATTTATGTAGAACATCCAGTATATGAATTTTCAAAGAACGCGTCTGGTTAGTAACTAAAACTATAAATTTTCATCAAGAGATTTCAATTAATAATGTAGGAAAGTAGGTAGTGAAATGAGAAAAAAATCCTTGTCCGCCTGTGTCATTTTTAGGAAACAGTCAGTATATAAATTTGCAAAATGCTTCTGAGTTCTACAATATAAGATTTATCATAAAAATATTGCCATCAATAAATTTCTGAAATATACAGAAGCCTCTGGACTGATAATTCTCACCTGGGTCAATTTATGTAGAACATCCAGTATATGGATTTTCTAAGAAAGCGTCTGGTTAGTAACTAAAACTATAAATTTTCATCAAGAGATTTCAATTAATAATGTAGGAAAGTAGGTAGTGAAATGAGAAATAATCCTTATCCGCCGGTCATTTTTAGGAAATAGTCAGTATATAAATTTGCAAAATGCTTCTGAGTTCTACAATATAAGATTCTTCATAAAAATATTGCTATCAATACATATCTGAAATATACAGAAGCCTCTGGACTGATAATTCTCACCTGCGTCAATTTAAGTAGAACATCCAGTATATGGATTTTCAAAGAAAGCGTCTGGTTAGTAACTAAAACTATAAATCTTCATCAAGAAATTTCAATTAATAATGTAGGAAAGTAGGTAGTGAAATGAGAAAAAAATCCTTGTCCGCCTGTGTCTTTTAGGAAATAGTCAGTATATAAATTTGCAAAATGCTTCTGAGTTCTACAATATAAGATTCTTCATAAAAATATTGCCTTAAATAAATTTCTGAAATATACAGAAGCCTCTGGACCGATAATTCCGACCTGGCTCAATTTTGTGGAACATTCAGTATATGCATTTTCCAAAAAGCAAATGGTAAGTTTTCTTCAAAACGTGTCAGTAGAGAAAGTAAAAAAGTAAAAAGATTAGAGAAGTCTACTCCACCTGTGTCAGCTTTATGAAACATCCAGTACAAAGCATCTGGTTACTAAGATATGATTTATCATAAAAATGTTGCCATCAATAAATTTCCGAAATATACAGAAGCCTCTGGACCGATAATTCACACCTGGGTCAATTTATGTAGAACATCCAGTATATGGATTTTCAAAGAAAGCGTCTGGTTAGTAACTATATAAATTTTCATTAAGAGATTTAAATAATTAATGTAGGAAAGTGTGTAGTGAAATGAGAAAAAAATCCTAGTCCGCCTGTTTCATTTCTATGAAACACTCAATATATAAATTTGCAAAATGCTTCCGAGTTCTACAATATAAGATTTTCCATAAAAATATGACCATCAATAAATTTTTGCAATATACAGAAGCCTCTGAACCGATAATTCGGACCTGGGTCAATTTATGTAGAACATCCAGTATATGAATTTTCAAAGAATGCGTCTTGTTAGTAACTATAAATTTTCATCAAGGGATTTCAAATAATAATGTAGGAAACTGGGTAGTGAAATGAGAAAATAATCCTATTCCGCCCGTTTCATTTTTATGAAAGTCAGTATATAAATTTGCAAAATTCTTCTGAGTTCTACAATATAAGATTTTTCATAAAAATATGGCCATCAATAAATTTCTGAAATATACAGAAGCCTCTGGACTGATAATTCTCACCTGTGTCAATTTATGTAGAACATCCAGTATATGAATTTTCAAAGAAAGCGTCTGGTTAGTAACTAAAACTATAAATTTTCATCAAGAGATTTCAATTAATAATGTAGGAAAGTAGGTAGTGAAATGAGAAAAAAATCCTTGTCCGCCTGTGTCATTTTTAGGAAACAGTCAGTATATAAATTTGCAAAATGCTTCTGAGGTATACAATATAAGATTTTTCATAAAAATATTGCCATTAATAAATTTCTGAAATATACAAAAGCCTCTGGACCGATAATTCTTTATGTAGAACATCCAGTATATGGATTTTCAAAGAAAGCGTCTGGTTAGTAACTATAAATTTTCATCAAGAGATTTCAATAAATAATGTAGGAAAGTTGTGAAATGAGAAAAGTATCCTTGTCCGACTGTGTCATTTTTACGAAACACTCAGTATATAAATTTGCTAAATGCTTCTGAGTTCTACAATATAAGATTCGTCATAAAAATATTGCCATCAATAAATTTCTGAAAGCCTCTGGACCGATAATTCTGACCTGGCTCAATTTTGTGAACATTCAGTATATGGATTTTCCAAAAAGCGAATGGTCAGTTTTCTTCAAAACATTTCAGTAGAGAAAGTAAAAAAAAGTAAAAAGAATAGAAAAGCCTAGTCCACCTGTCTCACTGTAGAAAAAAGTTTTTGAAAATGTACACATTTTTTCTTTATGAAAAGGTTTAAAAAGATAAATCCATATATAAAATTAAATTGCGGCAATATGTAAGAAATAAATCTTAGGTTATCCCGTTTTCACCGCTGCACTAACGTCTTTATGTGAAGCTTGTTGTCTGTATCTGTATTCTGTCACAAAATCGTCCGCGAAATATCCAGAATGGTATAAAACAGAGAAATAACAACATTCCACGATCTGGAAGTCTAGCTCCAACTTATTTCGATAATTCTCAACTTTTGACATTTGTGGACTAATACGAATGTAATTTATAGTAATTAATGAAGCAAATGTACTAATTAATACAAAGGTGAAGGGTTTAGGTACTACTATTTGTTTTAAAATTAGAAAGAAATATTTAATTTTTAGTGGGTACTTAAGCAAATCGAGAGACATACAGCAAGTAGGTATACCACGTATGTAGTGGTAGAGCTAGGAAAAAATGTAAATAAAAACGTAATGATAAATAAATAACTGTATATATCGTAGGGTAGCTATGTATTAAAGTTTAAAAGAGGCTTGGAAAAATGAAATAACAACAATCCCCAACCCTAGAACGTCTTTAGCTTTTGATGTCAAATTTATTTTGACGTTTCAATCTGACATCAGTCCCGATTGTCATGTTTCCGTCGATGGGCGTTGCCGTCTGCCGACACGTTCCATCCTTGTTCCGCGCGAAAAATCGCCGGCAGCCGTCCCGGAAAAGGAAAATTTCACATCGAATACGTTAAGAAATCGTTTTCAAAATATGACGTTTGAATGAAGAAAGAAACGAAGGGCGCTTCGCGTCCTTCGTTTGGCCGATTCGCGGCTCGCGAAAAGACCCTTTAAGCCCAGCAAATCGCCGTTTTTCGCGGTCGAGTGTGGGAGCGAGAGGAGATTGCAGATTTTAAAGTAAAGTAAAAAGCGGCCGCATTTCGATTTCGCGTTAATTTCATTAAATATTGTATATAAAAAGTTTGAAAAATGCATGTGGTAAGCAAATAAAACATATTCCAACATAATATTTAAATAAATAAGTAGAAAATAGCGAGAATAAAAAATAAAAAAGCTCCAACCGCTCACGATTCGAACCAGGGTCCAGCGGATGGACGGCCGACGTCCAGTCCCTCGAGCTGTCCCAGACACTCGGTGGGATGTCCTTGTATAAGTTATTTAACGGTCCACATCGGCTCGAACTCGAAGAAAATTTTGAAACGTTCAAATTCCGTTTTTTCGTCGCGATATCGATCGCGAGGGACGGAAATCGGTGTCGGACGTGAAAATAACGACCCGTACGTCCCGGAAAACGTCTAGAAGAGCGAAATTCCGGGGGTCAATTTTCGGTATCGGACGGTGGGCGTTTCCGACATGTCGCGTCTCTGTTCGGCTCCGCGCCTAGCCGAGGTGCCCCGGGAAATCGAAGTTTTACCTGGGAAAACGCGGGAAAAACGTCGCGAAAATA